GACCTCTTGAAGGTTCCTTAGTGTCATGTCATATTTACGGCAGTGATGTTTGCCTTGAGACAGACTGATTGGATTTTCACCATAATTGCACCTAAGTCCCCAGGGACCAGCAAGAGCCTTAGGTGAATAACTTAAGCCTTTAATTTATAATAAAGTTTGCAATCAGCATTTCTTGTTCCAAAACATTCCATGTACTTGGTTTTAGAGCTGCATAAACTGTTTTAAAAGCAATCTGCTCAATTGGGCGAGTTAATGATGTTTAATTTGACCGGGCCAAACGTCACCGGATGAGCATTGCCCCGCATTCCATCTGTAATTGCAGGCATCTTCAGGGCCTCGCTGCTGTGTAATGTAGATGTAATGCTAATCCCGGGCATAAACGGCTGTCATTCTCGGGCGGTTGACAGTGTACCGGCGTCATCCCCTCGTGAAGGCTCTCGGTGATGTGATTCCAAGATGACAGTGTAATAAGTGTTATGTGCACAAGGTAATTCAAAACAAATTTGGCTGCAAAAATGGATCATCTAGGATGGTAAACTCTCCCGCCTTGTCTCATCGTCCTTTAAGAGAACGTAATGATCCCTAAAATACCCTGTCAAGAAGCTTGTGTGGCAGGGCTCAAGTCTTGTAAAATTTATCTCTTGCATCCCCAAAGCTCCGCCGGAGAATCCCAACTTGAGGACTCTAGGATATTGACGTGTATGTTGGTAGTCCAGGAACAGGAGATGGGCAGGGAGCCTCTCGGTACACAAATGTTTCTTAAGACTACCTAATTAGGCTGCATTTTGCTTCCTTGATTTATAGATTATCTTCTCCTGGGGAAATCTGACTCTTCTGGTATAGGATCCCCATTAGCACTGGTATCTTAGTAAATTTCTTATTATTTGCATGTTAGGCATTAAAAGTAGAATATCTCATTAAACTTCATAATAACCCTAAGAGGCACAACACTATAATTACATTTATTTTTGTGGAGGAGGTAATTGAGACGCAGAATAGTCAAACTGTTCAAAGCCCACAGTCAGGATGGCAACCCTGCCCTGGTTTCACGCTTGCAGACCCTGTGCCCTCTGTCCCTGAGCTATAACTTAAGGAAGGAGGGGCTCCCCTAGATTGTGCCCAGGCTTTAATTGAACTGCGTTGGATTCACATACACACATGGCACTGGGCTTCTGAAATTGTTCTCATGGGCACAGGTGTCCGAAATGCCTTTCTGTGGAACCCAGCATGGTGGTGACGTCCTGGAGTGGGACAAGAGGTCATTTCGTGGTCACCCCAACATTCCAGGCCTCCCTTTGGGTTTACTACCCTCTTTCTTCATCCTAGGCGGTAGAGATGCTATGGATGTTGTTGCATCAACACCTTTGAATAATACCAAAAATGGGACGGATTCAGAAAAGCCTTCTTGCTTTTTGGAATTGTGTGCATAGAGACCCAGGGCAGCTGTTTGCCCCTAAGAATCCTCTTAGCTTAGACTGATTCAGGCGGGTCCTTTATGTTTCTTTTTCTGGGTACCATTTAAACATCTCCGTCTCGTAGCATTGATTTAAAAATCTACCTACGTAATAGTTACCATCACTTTTTTATGAAAATGAGCTGATTAAGATACACTCCCAATCAGAAAAGCATTTTCACTAATTCTTTTATACAGATAGAAGGATGTATCTAGGAACGAATCAGAATACATTCCTGCCTAATTTTACAATACATCTCTGTGATACTTACACCTACTGGGATGTTTTGGGCAGCAAGCAGTGATTTAAGTTAAAATGGTCAATGTATAAGGAATTCAGTATTGAATATGGTAAGAAATTTGGGGTTAAGAGGTCCTAAGCTTGGTTAGTTCATTTGCTCAGTGATATCATCAGAGACCCCAATTCTCCCATTTTTCTGCTCCGTATCCCTCAGTATGTTGTTAATTTGGCCCCAGAGTCTGGCTCTCAACATGATCCCAACTTACTCCCATGAATCCGAGCAACACATGCAGATGATTTGCCCAGAGGCAGAAGAGGGCCATCCCTGCCTATTTTAAGAACAAACAAAACTTCAAAAGCTCCCTAGCAGATTCCTCATCTTATCCTATCAGCCGGAAGTATGTTTCGTGCCCATGCCTAAATCCATCACTAAAGGAACAAGACCACCATAATAAGCCAAGGTTAATCAAGCCCACACCTCAGTCTCCCCAGGAGGGAAAGCTCTCTGATCTGATGGAAAGAAAACAAAACCTGATCTCCCTTAGCTGAGAGGAAGAAGGTGAGGCAAGGGGGGATGTTTGTTGACCAGGTAGCTAACATTGTCCGGTGTTGTATTTGCAAGACCTAATCGTATATGTAAAAAGGAGACTCCTAGGATGGGTTCTTCTTTAGACACAACTAGAAGGGTCCTGAAAGAAACTCTCATGTTCAGTCCTTTTTGGCACAAGACCTGGTACTTATGTATGACTAGAGAAAGCACAGATTAGAGAGATCTTGCAGGACCCATTCAAAAGTCTTCATGTCTGAGGGCACCTGGGTGATCCATTCGGTTAAGTGTCTGCCTTCGGCTCAGGTCATAATCTCGGGGTGCTGGGACGGAGTCCTGAGTGGAGTCAGGCTCCCTGCTCAGCAGGGAGTCTGCTCCTCCCTCTGCCCCTCCCTCTGCTCACACGCACACTCACTCTCTCTCTCTCAAATAAATAAAAACTTAAAAATAAAGCCTTCATGTGTGAGTTCATTGGGAGTGCTACTGCCTTCAGTACAAGCCATCCCTTGTGACCACCGAGGGCAGAAGACGAGCTTGGCTAGCTGGCGGTGGCCACACCCACATCTCCTACACGTGCTGTCTGTGGCATTAATTTAACCAAGGGACAAATTGACTATCACAGTGTAAGTTCCTGTATTACTTGACCCCTGGAGTCAGGCAGTAATGGAAAATACGGCTCAGAGAGTTCTGCCACAGCACGAATTTCGCAGATCTCCAAGTTGCTGTTTAACCACCACCCCCTTCCCTCCCAACCCAAGACCTCAGCACTCTGGGCTCCGAACAAGGAGGGGGTCAAGATGGTCAGCTGGCTCGGAAAGCTGGAAAGAATTCCTTTGTGTCCGTTTGTCCTCTTCTCAAAGGAAGAGGGAAGACAGTTGTGATTTTTTTTTTTTTAATTTTATTTATTTATTTGACAGAGAGAGAGACAGCGAGAGAGGGAACACAAGCAGGGGGAGTGGGAGAGGGAGAAGCGGGCTTCCCGCTGAGCAGGGAACCCAATGCGAGGCGCGTGATCCCAGGACCCAGGGATCATGACCTGAGCCGAAGGCAGTCGCTTAACGACTGAGCCACCCAGGCGCCCCGACAGTTGTGATGTTAAACCCTGGTGTTCTCAGTCCTCCAGGGTAGAGGATGGAAGAGTTTGGTGCTTCAGCCATTCACTTACTTACTGGTGCACTTGAGTCATTTCGTAGCCCATAGTTCTTGTTCTGCCGAACTCCCTTGTGTTGCAAGTAAATTACTTAAGTAGATTGAATCCAGATCATTAATAATCTCCACCGACATGATGCACTTGGGCTTCATTACAAGGAAAGAGTCCGACATCTATTCAACCCAGCAGTTGTTTACAAGATACTCTGTCCTAAGAGTTCTTTTCCCTGTAGGGCCGGAGTGAAGGGGCTTAGCAAAAAATAGAAAAACGGCTGCATAATCAATACTTGTGTTTTGCTCGGACACAGAGAAACCCAAAGTGCTCTCTGCCTCAGAGGATGGACCTAATTGTCAGTGTGCTTTGAAGGACAAGATACTGGGGGACTAAGGGGAGGATGCATATGCCCGACAGGAAAAGGTTCAGTGTTCATTTTGACATTTATAAATAAATACTAAAAATATGCCTATTGAAAAAATGGAGTATTAACCTAAGAGATTTATGTTCAAGAACTCCTATGTTAAATGACATGAATTTGTCAGTGTTGCTCTCCAGAGATTTGAGAAGCTCAGGAACTTTTGCCGAAGTATAGTCTGAAGAGTATGGTTCCTGTATGATCATTTTGTATCTGACTTTAAAAAGCAAGCCAACCCCCTGGGGAATAATATTGAAGTATGTCAGAGCCTGGTAACGTTCCTGCAGTGCAGTCATTAGACATTACCAAACTACTGGAACATAATACCCTATTCCTTTGCTGTGGGGGATGGGAGGGCAAGGAAAATTAGAGTTGGACTAAGAGGTTGCTTGGAATGACTTCATTTTCTAGAAATAAGGTTCTGGCTTCTGTTTCGTCTTGTGTAAGCTGTGCTAAAGATAGCCACATTGAGTTAGTTTGGATTGGGTGCCGCATCCAGGATTCTTTCCAATGGTACAAAGTTGTGACCCACCACTAACTAGCTGTGTGATCTCATGTGGTTAATCTGAAGCTGTTGTAGGAGGGAGATGAACATAATTTTGGCTCTGCCAACTTCCCAGACCGTGTTGAGGGAAGTGTTAAGTGGTAGCTTCAGGTCAGTCATGCGGCAGACAGTGGACACTCAGTAAGTAAAGCCTCTTGGGGATGCGGCATGCTCAGGCTGTACACAGTGGGAAACAAGATAGCAATTAATTTCCCACACATCGGCCAGAATGCCAGCCATTTCTGGACCTCCTTGATACCTGCCATGTCCACCTACGGCCTGGATTATCATTTACTTAATATATTTGATTGACTTTAAAAAAAAAAAAAAGCAATTTATTTAAAATGGAAACTTCGTATCACTTCCATAAAAGGAAAGCTAATGTCACCTGACATAATACACCCCATTAACACATAACAATGTAATTAATTTCTAGTTAGTTATTATTGCCTGATAAAGGCTCTGAGCCCGGAGGCTGCTCTTTTCTCTCACAGGCAAGATTAGCAGGTGATGAAACTGGGTTAAAGACATTCCAGTAGGAAGCCAAGACTTCCCCACTGTGAGATTTATCATTTAATGCCAGATCTGTATCCCTCCAAACTCACTCCCATCCCACTAGGCATTCCTTAGGAAACCTAAAACAGAATTGGAATTCTCTGACACCCTCAAGTTGTTCTTCCTTTTGGCTTGCTTACACAAGAGCACAGTCTTTCCAGCTTCTGCTTGGCTATGATCCTCTCTCACCCTAAATATCTGTCCACAGGTCAACGGTAAAGACTTATCCAGAGCGACTCATGACCAGGCTGTGGAAGCTTTCAAGACCGCCAAAGAGCCCATTGTGGTGCAGGTGTTGAGGAGAACGCCTCGGACCAAAATGTTCACACCTCCGTCAGAGTCGCAGCTGGTGGACACGGGAACTCAAACCGACATCACCTTCGAGCACATCATGGCGCTCACCAAGATGTCCTCTCCCACCCCGCCTGTGCTGGATCCCTATCTCCTGCCAGAGGAGTAAGTCCAGTGAAGTTGTTTTCTTTTTCCATGTGGTGAAAAACATTAGCGGGTCTTATAATTTTCCTCCAGGTTGCCCGTGTTTAACTTTATTGTTTATAGAGGCAATCAATTGAGTCCTGCTCAAAACCACTCTGACATATTAATTACTTTATTATAACCCTGGAGCGGAGTTATTCAAATTATATTCTAAGAACAAAATTACTTACAAATGTCATAAAAGTTATTTCAGAATAAAATTTAATCACCGCAAAAGGCAATGTGAAGATTTTGTGTTATAACTAGAGGGAATGCTGATGGTTCTCTTAAATAGACAACAAAGTAATTCGGGAGTATAAAGAGAGCCCTGAAGGGTGTGCATTCCACTTTCTGGGGTCTCGTTTCAAACCTGAATCCGTGTTAATAAGCCCACACGTGCCTCATATAAGTGCTGCATTTACCAATTAAGTTAACAGCTGTGATCCAACACCCCACACGAATTACTTTACACATGACTCTCCTCTTACCTTACTTCCTGCCAGAGAGAGAGAGAGTGGAGCTCAGAGCCTTCAAGTCAGACGAGCCTGATGCTCAAACTGATAACTAGCCAGGCAGCTGGGGCAGTTCACTTTATCCCCATTTCAATGTAGGAAAAATAATAATAGAACCCAGTGTGTAAGAGTGTTGGGTTAGAGGAAATAATGTGTGGGAAGTTCTCACCATGACATATGGTAAGCACTCAGGAGAGAGCAGCAATCATTAATTTAGTGAGTGAGATGAAATATCTAGGGAAAAAATGAAGAGCGAGAAATTTTCTAAGATAGACCACTGGCTGAGAAGATGTCCACTTTACTGTAGAGCTTGGAGCACGTGATTTTGCCCGTGTGAGGACAGGATGTCCCCTTGCCCGCCTTAGTCTCTCTAGGTAACAGAGAGTCACCCCTGGCTCTTACTGTCTTGTTCCTGATTCCATCACTGACGTGATGCTTTATTTCCAAGGGCATTTTACCTCTCCCAGGGCAAACCTCTGAGTGCTACCTGTTGGGTTTCTGTTAATAACTCAGTAGCTGGAGTGAGCCCATGTTTTCTGTGGTTCCACCAGCTTCCAGACAGAGGCTTGCCTTTCATCCCATGGTGTTACCCAATAGCTGTCATGGGAGTCCAGGACTAACTCCCCAGGCCTAACAGTGGGGAAGGGGAAAGAAAGGGTCCCCTCTCTGACATCCACGCTCAGCGTGCACAGGAGTATGCAAAGAAGATGGGTCTTTCCATGCAGTGAGGAAGTGCATACACACCTGTTCTCCTCAGCTTAAGTCAGCAGCTGGACTGAGAGGCAGGTCTGGCTCACCTCGACTCCCAGCTCTTAGTCACACAACTACTCTGTGGCATCCCAGTTGATCCTATGAAAGAATTGCCCGACTCACTGAACCATCATCATTTAAGCCAGTTCTTCGACTTTATAGAGCAAAACTGCCTCTCAGTATTGATGAGGCCTTTGCAGCAGCTCCCGCCTCTCAGATGTTGAACTGTCACAGTGATGGGCCTTTTAGAAGCCAAACCCTTAATTTCCTCTTAAGTCTGGTTAACATGACATGACCTAACCCCAAGGGGCAACTTGAGAAATGTCAGTGGAGTCCAGAGGTCAGGCCTCTCCAGGTTCTGGCTGCAAGGTCAAAGCATAGTAAAGAGTGCGCATCGGGATAGAAAGGGGAATGTTAACGTGATGCTTGAAAGCCCAGGCCTTCCAACGGCATCCTCCAGTACTAAAAGCCCCTTAAGTGCTGGCAGGAAATTTACCTGATAGGTCCAGAAAATTGAAAGCCAGCCCTTGTTTGACCATGTCTGATCTGATGTTTCAAAACCAAGTGCCTGGGAGGGAAGACCAGAGCCCATTGATTGCTGTGCTGACCTTTGAGAACAAGATGCTTTGAGTCCGCAGTCAACAATCAGGCTGAAGCTTTCCACCCACGTCTGGGACCTTCCAGAGCTGCTGACTGAGCCTGTTACGATTCCCACTGCTTCCTCTCCTAGAGGTTCCAAAGAGGTGGTGGCTTCTGGAAATAGGGTTTCCCATATGTTGTCCTAGAGAGACTCAAGCTTCTGTTCTCTGAGCAGTGGGTGTGTATGCTTATATACATGTGCCTTTTACACGTGCATGTATGTAGTACCTTCATTCATTCATTATCTACATATATGTGCGTACTCGGTTTTCATGTCAAACCTAGTCCTTGTCATGGAACAATCAGAGAAGTTTGGGAAGACACTGTCCTAGATGATAGCATCGTAGTTTCAGTCCCAGCCCTTTGGACCGGACTCAGAGGCCAGTACATATCCTTGAGTGTTGCCTGACATCCAGCCTTTTTCTGCCCAAAGAGAAAATCTAACAGTGAAGCAATAAGCGGGAAAGGGGAATGTGTCTGCTCTCTAGAGACTGAGTGAGAAATGAGTCCCTTTGACTCACATGACTAGTCGGCAAGAGGATGGTCACTGGGAGCAGCAAGGGCAGTCCCGCTGTCACCTGCATCTTCTTCGAGGAGGATGGAAGTGTTAAACAGGGGAGGTCCTGACGCTGCTGAGAAGCACGGCCAGGGAGAAGTGGGCTTAGGCAGTGCCCCAACCCTGAGAACTGGGGCCACATCACAGCAGGCCCGACGAGGTTGGGGGGATGAAAGGGGGGACTTCCAGCCGCAAGCAGGCTGTAAAGGTCTTTCTTCTGTTTTCAGGCACCCCTCGGCCCACGAGTACTATGACCCCAGTGACTACATTGGAGGTGTCCATCAGGAAATGGACAGGGAGGAACTGGAGTTGGAGGTAAGAACATCTTTGTCTCGATTTAGGAGCCATTACTAAGACTAACAAGTTCTCTATGAGCATACATGTAGTCTATGGATGTTAGTGAAAGAGCCACTTTCTTTTAAAAGAACCACTTTCAGTCATGCCATTTAAAGGCATAATTTGGCTTTTCTTCCCTACCCCCCCTTTCAAGAATAGAACAACGTTACAGTCTGATCCCAAAGCAGAAATGTAGGGTTTTTTTGTTTTTTTTTTTTTATTAAAATTACTTAAAAGATAGGGTAGTGAGTCCTGTTGTGGATCTTTGAACTCATATTATCTCCTCTCATCAGGCTCTAAACTCCATCCATTCTTGTAACTACAGTGAGCTTCCGCACCTTTCTCCTCTCACAGTCATCGTGACTTTTACTCAAAGGCAAGAGTAGATGGATGAATAGGGTAGGTGGTAGCCCACACCAGCACAAAACGGTTTGCCCAACATTTTATAACACTGAGCTTGAAAAAAATTAGCAAATCCAAAACTCTCCTTATTTGAGGCCAAATATGACTCAGATAGGATTCTAGATGATGTATAAGGTCCTACTGGCCTCTGAGGGTTTTTAAATTTATTTTTATTCAAGTATCACTAACATACAGTGTTACGTTAGTTTCAGGTATACAATAGAGTGATTCAGCAGTCCTATAAGTTACTCAGTGCTCCTCACGAGAGGTGTACTCTTCATCCCCTTCACCTGTTTCACCCAGCCCCCGAGCCACCTCCCCTACAAGACATCAGTTTACAGAGTTCCAGCTCTCATTTGTCTTCTAATAAGAGAGATCGAAAATAGAGAAAAGTCACCTTTCAAGATGTACTTCCTTACACTTTCGGGCAAACATTGGTTCCTCTATTTTATTGTGTTTTCGAAAAATGCAAGAGCATTTTTTTCAGAACTGACTTTACAGACTAGGATAATCAGGTACCTTTTAGAAAGATTGCTGATGTCAAGCGTGAGGCCAGCGGGTTGCTGAGAGCTAGTAGATTGCGGGGCAGTGAGCGAGGCAGTAGACGAGTGGAAGGTGGTCGTGATCATCGAGCTCTCCTTTACAGTTACCGAGGGTTTCTGTGCCCTGAGAGGGGACAGAGATCAGTCCCCGGGTTCAAACACCACCTTCACTGGCTGCTCCCCTACAGCCTGATGTAGAATCCTAATGCACTCGGGGACGTTGTTTGGAAAATTTAAATTTCCTGCTCAGCGCCTACGGTCTGAACTGGAATGGTGGTCATTCTGGCTCAAACCTGCCACTGTCCCCATGCGCCGCCCACCGTGGAACTCAGTACTTGCCGTCCCCTGACTGATGGCTGCACGAAACGTAGCCTCGTGCCTTTCAGAAAACCAGGGACTCTGCCTATCATTTACAATTTCCCCTCTCACCACCTTTGGGGGTAGCTCATGAAGCAGCCAGTGCCTCCCCCAGGACACTCGTTCTTAGCGTGTTAACACACAGTGTGTGCAAATGGGGTTCCACGTCAACCGTGTTTGAGAAGTGTCTGAGTAAACCACAGTGAACAGATTTTGTCCCAGAGGACTTCTCAGTCCTGGGTATGTTTAAGAGCACAGTAAATGCCCTGGGGAAGGAAAGCAGATACAGTAGACAGCATTACTCCCAACATATTTTTGTTTGATCTAACAACTTCTCTTTGGCCAAGTACCTCTTAGCATTTCCTGGGTCTAGAATTCTCAGGAATAGTGCTTTACAAGAAGAAGGGCTACTTAATGATGGTTCCAGGACAACACTGCTTTTTGATCATCAATGTAACTGTGACACAGTAGAGATCTTTAGAAAGCTATAAAATATCTCAGGAGCTAGATTTACAGAGTGTAACTGACCCCTGAACAACACAAGGACTAGGAGGGCTGACCTCCTGCACCGTCAAAATTCCACGTCTAACTTTTAACTCTCCAAGAATTTAACTATTAGCCGACCGTTGACCAGAAGCCCTCCCAGTAACGTAGACAGTCAATATACGCCGTATTCTTACAGTTGGGTAAGCTAGAGAAAAGAAAAGAGAAAATATATTTACAGTACCGTATTGTATTTATCAAAAACAATGCACATGCAAGTGGACCCACGCAGTTAAAACCCATGTTGTTCAAGGGTTCACTGTATTGTGTAGACTTGGTAAGTCATGGACACCTAGTTAAACCTGACTCCATACTAGTGATCTATTTTACTGTCTAACACCTTGGAGAACCTGATGGAATCTAGGGTTTCTTCCTGGAAAAAAAGGCTCGTGTCTAAAAGGGTTTGCAGGTGCTTTCTGGAAGGTCACAGAACTCCCGCGGTATCTGCCCCATTTGGCCCATTCTGCCTTACGATTTTTTTTGTTCGTTCCGCATACCAGCAGAACCACTGTTTGCTTTCTGTTTTGCTTTAACCCAACTCAACTCACTTTAAGTGAGGTGAATTTGTTTTAAAGGCAGTGCACTATGACTGCCTCAGACAGGAAATCAGCATCAGCTGCCGTAAATGGAAGGCACTGCACAGTAAATACAGGGGGCCCAGGCAGTGTTCTCAACTCCTGGTGCGCATCATCGGCGGTGCCTGGTGAGGGCCAGGGGCTGGGGGCTGGTTCGCCTCTCTCTCTCAGGAGATTGGCAAGTGTTAAAGAAGTGTTCAGACTAGCCCAGACTGAGTCCGCCTTCCTAAAGGTAATAACTTTCTCGGTGCGAACTACCTTAGAGCCTCTTGCTTTTGGTAGAAGCCACTCTAAACCAGTTCCCTAGAACCTTGTTTCTCCAAGTGACACAGCATCACCCTGGGAGTTGGCAGGAAATGCAGAATCTTGGCCCTCAGAGCTGCTGAGTCAGAACCTGCATTTTAACAGGATCCCCAGGTGCCTCAGTGCACATTCAAGTTGGAGGGGCCCAACCTAGAGGTAAAGAAGTCCAAGCTTCCATTTGTTCTTGTCATGGGTCAAAGCAGCAAGACTTCGGTTGTGTGTTCCATTCGGCACAGACGTCTTTCTTTTCATGAGTAAAAAGCAGAGACAAACAGCCCAAGAATTTAGAAAATCAGTTGAGTGTTCTAAATTGCACCTTTGATGCCATGAGACTTTACATCCATGATTATTTTCATTTCGACTTGCCCACTTCGAGCATCTGTTAACACTGAATACGCTGGTGCTAGAAATGCAAAATCAGGAAGTCACCACCCTGCCTGCCTTTAAGGAGTTCATGTCCCTTGAAGTTCCTAAGCCCTTAGGCTTGTTAGACAGGAACTTGTCATCTCCTAAGAAAGCCAAAATATGGTTATGGGTCCACGCCAGGCAGGAAGGTTGCTTTCACCTCTGGACTTTTGTCCTTAGCAGCTGAGATGTCACCAAGTTGTCTTTGTTAACTAAGCACATCTCAAAAAGTGAACCGGGTGGTTTGGGATAAGAAGCCCATCCCAAGTCCTGTGGGGAAGGCTCGAAGTCTTCCTGAAGCCCAGTGTGGCCGCTTACCTGGAGGGAGCCTCCCGTAGAGAACAGTGTACGTCCAGTACCTCCCCGTTTCAGAGGCACGTCCTCAGACGGTAGTCTGGTCAGCTCCAGAATGGTAATAAAGCAGCCTCAGTGCGGGGAATGGAGTTTCCTAAAGCAGACCCAGTTTTTAGGGAGATTGGCACGTACGTGTCATCCATGCTTCTCACCAGATTTCGTAGAATAGTCCACACTCTGTCTCTGTGATGTTCCATCCTCTTCTCTTCCCCCTGACTCTGGGGTTAGATTACAAAAAGAGCAGGCGTGTTTTGAGTTAGGGAGTCAGTCTCAACACACCACTCATCATCTGAGTTGAATGAGATCAACATCCACTGAAAAGTAACTAGTTCCATGGATATTATATAGGAGGAAAATACATGAGTGTGTTGGGATATTATAGAAGCAAATGCACAGAGAAAAACAGATGTTCTGTCTTTTAAAGCACACAAAATGATCATATTTAGGTAAGTGTCAAATCCCTGTTATTGTGAAACTGTGTAAAGCTAAAAAGATTATACCCAAGTGTACCCAAGGGTTGAGCAGCCACATAATTACCCATAAATTTTCAGGTACTGAACACCTGCTCTAGATCTTCCTGGAGGCAATTAAGAAGGAAAATAGATGTCTGAAGAAGGCTTTTTCCTTAATCTATCGTGTTAATTTCCCAGTTGATTCATCAGTAGCCTCCCCCTTCAGGCTGTGAAGCTACCCTCACCTATGTTGTGTTTTGATGATGTCATTTTGAGGGGAGAAAAGAGAAGAAAAGCTACAGTTTCAACAGGGAGACTAAAATGACCTCCAAACCTGGTTTCATCGAGTAACCTAAGTAGATCACTAGGGAATTGGGATTGTCCTGGAGACGATGCAGGATGCCCCAGCCAATCTATACATTTGTCTTTAGCCTTTAAGGCACAGCTCAAGAACTCCTCCAGGAAACCTTTCCTGGTCAGCTCTGCCCTCACTGAGTTGGCCTCCTCACCCTGTTCCCAGTACAGTCGGCGCTTGCCCATTCTTTGTACTACCATCTGCACACCAGGACCTTCCACCTGCTCTGCTCTCAGCCCACAGGGCACTTGCCCAGATCCTAGCATGGCCCCGTCCGGCTCCGTCTTTTGTCCACAACGTCACCTCCAGAGAAGCTTCCCAGCCACTCTGTCTAGAGCATCCCTACCCCAACAGTGCCATTTCCTACTTACTGGCTCCCCCACTAGAATACAAGTTCCATGAGAGCTGGGCTCTTGTCCAGCTCATTCATGGTTAGGTGCCTAGTCAGTCCTTGGCACATGGTAGGTAACCCATAAACATTTGTTGAGTGAAGGAATAAATGCCTTATTACCCTATCTCAAATGAAGGTTCTTGAAGGGAAGTACGGCCTCTTTAGAGACACCTCTGTGTTGCACATAGCCTGCCCCATGCATAGATATAGAAAGAGTGGAGAGAATTTAAAGAAATCTGCACAGCAGTTCTGAACTGATAAGGTAGAGTTATGCTTCAGTGACCCGTCTTCCTGGTGTGGGATAAGCCATTGAAATTGGTCTTTGGGATCCCCTCTGATTAAAGTGGCTGACTTTGAAACAGAAAGCTTGAATCACCCACGTGGAATGGCCCCATTAATTCTCATAATGGGGCTCTCGTTTCAATTTCATCTGAAATGTCAGGCTTAGCAGTTCATTTTTATCCAACAGTCCCATCTAGACCAGTAAGCAACAGGACACCAGTGGTGGGGGGGCTGTAATCCAGATAATGCTAATACATTATTCATACCAGTTTGATTAATGGTCTTCTCTGAAATCTTATCTCCATCATCACAGACAGATAAGTATTGATAACCTCTAAGCTTTCAGTGATGTGCTCAGTTGCGTAAGGCTCTGCCTTTAGCTTCCAGGCAGAATGCAATGTTGAGAGGGTACGAGCCACCCAGTGAGTTTGGAGAATTATCTGCTAAGGCCCCCAAATATCATATCTGGTTAGGAAATTGTAGAATAGCTGAGACGTTTCAAAGACATGAATTGACTTTTCCAAGGTTGCCTGGCTTGCTCATGGCACAGCCCAGGAGTGTTGTTCATGTGGATTTTTTCTTTTTTCTGCCTTGGAATCTTAAGCTCATTCATTCAGTTCTGAGCCACCTACTGTGCACACTATATTAGGCTGGACCCTTTTTTTTACTTCAAAACTCATTATTCAACTATTGCCTTAATATAATCTTGATAAGCAACCAAGGTAAAACTCAGATTTATACACAGCTAAAACTGTAGCAGTTCTTACAGCATTGTTTTTCAAGAGCTTCTGAAAACTTTTTATGGTTCACTCTTTGCTTAACTATGAGCAGCCAGGCTCTTCTTTATGATGTTGAACCATCCCTTGGAAACTGAGTGACCATTGCTAAGTTACACCATATGCCTTCGAAATGAAACTTTTCCAGTTTTTGTTTAGCGTTCCTCAGAAGATCCAGGTAACACAAGGAAATGTTATAGCCCAAGCCATCCTATCTAATATCAATGTCAAGAACATACCTGGAGTAAACTCCAGAATATCCTTTCCTTTCCTACTACTTGACACGTAATATCAGCCATTTGTCTATCCTGTACCATTCATCCTTTTTAAAACCGATCCATTTCTAAGATAGAACCAGACCATTTCTAAGAGGACTACCCCTAATCTAGAATTACACTCCCATTCTTGAATTTGTTCTAAAAAATCAAGTCCTAAAGTTTGCTTCACAGCCAACAAGAATTGGGGGTGGAAGAGGAAGCTTTAACATACTCAGGGCAACTGTTTCAGATGAGAACTCTGCCCTGTCATGTGTGTGTGTGTGTGTGAGAGAGAGAGAGAGAGAGAGAGAGAGATGCCAGAGCCAGCTTCTCATCCATGTCAAGGATGGAATCCAGCTTTTCCAGTATTTAAGTCAAACCTGACCAAAGTGAGAATGTGACTGTCGCCATGACAGTCTGTCCTGGGAGGATTTGCAATGGGATTTAAAGGCTAAATGCAGTGTTGGCTAAGTCTTTCTGCTGTAGGGAGGGAGCCCTGCATCCTCAGAGTATATTGCTAACTGGGAATAGATCTGGTAAAGAAAACCTCTTGTCTCCAATGCACAGATGTGGGAATGTTGACCATCATGTATTGTGTGTCATTTCCAACAGTGTGTATTGGAAATCTATTATTAATTTGCTAATCACATATGGGGTTAATGGCAGCATATAAAATGTGTTCAAGGAGAGCATAAGGGATTACCCATGATTCAGGTATCAGGGATTCAGGTGAAACTATTTTAAAGCAACACTTTAGGATGTATTCCTTTCCAGCTCGACATTTGGTTCTAAGAAAGTTTCCTCCCTGGTTATAAAAGATTTGTTGAAAGGAACTGTCAGATTTAGAAGAGTAAAGTACCAGAATAAAATACTCCCACCAATAGCAGAATGAACTGATGTCCACATTTATAGCTTTATAGTTCTCCAAATATCTGTCAATCAAAATCCTGACCAAAAAATAGAGTAGAAATGCTTTTCAAGTTAGGTTTTTATTGAAATCATTTACTCAACACTTAAGATAGCAGACTCTCTACGTTTTGGGAACTAAACCAAATAAATGTAATCCTTTTCTATATAGCAGACATTCAGCTAATCCCATTCCTTAGGAGCCTTCCTTTTTCCGCTTTGAATAACCCTAGTACATTATGCTGTTCTTTTCCAAGACATGATTTCCAGACTTTTTGCCTTCCTGGGTTCTCAAATGGAGCCCTCAGTTCCTGGATGTGTATCACAGAGTCATGCTTCTCAGACTGTCTATACTGAAAAGCTGTGAGGACCAACCAGGTCAACCAGTTTAAGTTTCAGTATGTCACTGACCAATATGTGGTTCTACCATGTGGGACTCTATATAGCTCACCCCGTACACAGGAGTCAGGAGTACCTGAACCGATGCACACTTTGGTCACTAAGACAAGCTTGCTCTTCTTGTTCTTGGATATTATGACAATATCCAAATGCTCTAGTAGTTTCTAAACCCTCCCCTCAATTTTTGCAGTTGTTCCTCACAACCACACTTGGGCGCTTACTTTGAGTACTGGAATAAAGCCCAGTGGAACTGTGATCTCTTTTATGCTTAGATACTCACCTTGGTGGCCAGCTATTCAGAGAAAGCTATAACTCACATTACCATTTATACTTCTGCTAAAGGGAATACCACATTTATTGTCTTTCTCATTTTTCTTCCTACAGTCTTTCCCGTTCTCTCTCTCTGCTTTGGTTGCCCATGAACCTGTTCCCGAACCATCTGGCATCCACCATGATAGCACAGGGCTCGGTGGTAGCATTTGGCTACAGTTGTGCAGTTGGACCCAAACAAACCATCATGAAATTCCACTGATTCAAACTAACTGTGAGAAGGGCCAAAACGGGGAAAGTCTTTCCTTCTACCCAGACCCAAAGAAAATGTAACCTGAGACAGAGATGTGGGCATGTGTTTGAAACGTAAGAGGAGGATGTGTGACTAATAGTGTGTGTGAGGTATGCAAACTGGTTACTCCCACGTATTTGGAAAGAATCGGCCCTTGTAATTAAACGTGACCCTCAAACTCATGCTTCCTCCATTACTGTGCTTAGTCCAGTTCTTTCCACCCAACTTAACTGAAGTATCAGAAATTAATGGGATTTCACTTAATGAAAATCTGCCATGTTGCTAAAGCTATAATTAGGAAGTCAGTGAATTAACATATCAATGTTCAGAAAATAAAGTTATCTTATTGGGGGGAGGGGCACGTGAAATATAACCACTCTGTGCTGGGACTTGAGGCAAGTAAACATACCTGCAGTGATTATTATACTACCATTTCCTATTAACTTTCTCTGGGCCAAGCACTGTGCTGCAGTTCTCTGTGGGCCTTACCTCACTGAGTCTTCATCCAGCCTGAGGCAGCAGGATGGCATTTACTAGTGAGGAGACAGGCTTAGATACAGCAACAGGCCCATGATGGAGGTGCTAGAAAGAGATAGATTTGGGATCTGAACACAGGTCTGCCTGTCTTCATAGCCCCAACCCTTCACCACCACATTACACTCCATACATCAGCCAGAAAAACTGCTGAAAATAGTCTGTCAGATCAGGGCAGTCCTCACTTTTAAAACTTTTTCATGGGTTCCCACAATGGTGAAGTAAGATCCGAGCTCCTCATGCTGGCCTATGGGGTTCTCCTAACATGGTCTGGCCTCATGCCTTGCCATGCTCAGCCCACCTCTCTCCTCCTTGCACACAGGACTTTGGCATTATTGGCCCAGGACATTTGCACCTGCCGTTCTTCCAGCTTGAAAGGTGTCCATGGTGCTGGGCACCCTGCCTTTCACAGGGGAGGGTTCAGGAATTATCTGCTTTGACATACCTGCTTTGAGCTTCCCCACAAAGACCACTGCATCCTTACCACCCTCCAAGAATAATATGGAGAGAGGAAGTGGTCCCCAGAGACCGTGGTTTCAGAGACCCATTCTCTCAGCACCTCCACTCCTGGTTGGTGAGCAGTCAGCAGTAAAAACCAGAGCGAGAGACCTGCTGGAGACCTTCTTCTCAGGCAGCCCTTCGGACAGGCCTCAGCTTAGTGCTGCAGAATCTTGCAGGGGCAACTGGCAGTGTGGTGGAGAGGGCAACTTGGCTTGTTGATACTTTCAGAAAACCCAGAACTTCCTCCCAAGGCTTCAACAATGTTCAAAGTTCTGACTTCATTCTGAAGCGCAAGACTAATTGGCAAATACAGTGGCGTTCCTTGTGCTCATGTGTCTCGCATTTGGGCTCACTTTGCTTTTATCTTACTTAATTTGCAGTAATAGGGACTGAAACTAATTTCTCGACTGTAAATATCACAGCTGTTGTGGAAAGCATTAATTGCGCGCTATCCCGTTACCCTCCTTTCTTGGATCAATTTATGTGTAATCTGTTTGCAAGTTCTATTACTGTGAATATTAAGGGAACGCAATGTGAAATAATCTAACTGAACACATTGGAAACATTTGTACTGAAATGGCTGGATGGTTTGGGGTATGGAAATATTCTCATTTGTGGCAGGCATTGAAAGAATGCTTTTTAAAAGCCCTACCCCAGAAGTCTTGACACTGAGTGAAATATAGGTAATTTTTCTTTTGGGGGATCAATAAAATAACTATTTTCAAAATGACTTTATATTGACTGAAAGGTCAGAAATGCCGTGGGCATTGATCCTGTGTCCATAATCACTTTTTGTTTAGTACGTTAACCACTCTACACAATCAAATACAAAGAAATCCAGTTCATCATTGAAACAAAATATTTTTAAAGCATTTGACCCCTCCCAGCTCTCCCTGCCCGCTGGAGGCTCACTGCAAATGCCTTTCCCTTGTCTAGGAAGTGGATCTCTACAGAATGAACAGCCAGGACAAGCTGGGCCTCACCGTGTGCTACCGGACTGATGATGAAGATGACATTGGGATTTACATAAGTGAGGTATGAAGGCTGAGTGTTGTGTAACTATCATCTTAAGACCAGAGGAGGTTTTTGGTTTTTTGGTTTTTGGTTTTTTTCTGTTATGTGTTAACCAGCCCTAACTCTGGCTCATTGAGAAGTCTTTGGAAAGACCCAAATGTCTTTCTCCCCTTCATCACACAGTCCATGGAGTTAACATCTTTACATAGGGGTTAAGTTCAAATGTCAATCAGCACATAAGGCGAAATTACCCTTGAGAAGCCTGCAAATCGGCCATAAAATGGAGCCGCTTACATGGTTTTGTGTGTTCAACCCCGAGGGGACAGCAGATTCACATTTCCCTTCTCGTGTCCATTGAATGGGATGGTGGATGGAGTCATTTACACTTTTTAAAGTATTTCTTTATATCTCTTTCTTTTTCCTTTTGGTTGAATGTGTATATCATTGAATTCATGTAAGTTAAATGCATCTGCAAAGTACAGAGATGGAAGCTATTTTGATCTTCTTAGAGAAGACAATGCAGTATGATTACAGTATGAATACTTTACCCTAGACTCCCATCTAGGCAAGCACAGGAACTCAATTTTGTCAGGAAATAAAACCTCTCTCTGTGGGATGAACCAAGGGATGTGTTTACTAGGCTTAATAATTATTCCTTTGGATGTACTTTATTCACCAAGCTTAAGATGGTCCACCGTTACTGCATTTGGGGAGATTTTTCCCATACTTAATCCCACTTGTCTCAATTGTATTTTTAAACTTATTTTCCAAAATGGAAGCATTTAGTAAAATAATCAAGGTATGGTTGCTCATCCGCATAGCCAAGGGTGCCGTTTACCCTGTTCTGCATCACACTTTGGCTTTCATTTCTGTGACTGCAACAAAAGTCAGCTGTGCCTCTCTATTCCCTTAGGTCAGCAGGGTCTGTGCACACTGCCATGTCACAGGAGGCCACGCAGGGTTCCAAGAGCACACCCAGGAAAGGGCTTGGAAACAGATCAATCCATGTTTGTCTCTCCTTGCAGGAACTAAGTCTTGTTTATTTATGTGCAAAACAAAAACTAGGGATAAGCAGGACTGCGTGTTAGACAGCCTTTGAGAAGTGCTGTTGTTTATTTTCATATGTGTCTTAGTTATCCACTCCGTGCTGACCTGTCCATGTGTGTTTCAGATCGACCCTAACAGCATTGCGGCCAAGGATGGGCGCATCCGAGAAGGAGACCGCATTATCCAGGTAGGTCAGCTTTCGACCAGAGGCCGAAATGGTTGATGATAATAACTTTAGGGTTGAAAATGCAGATGTTAAGGAACAAGGATCACCAAGGCGGATGTATAGTGAGGCCAGAAGTTAAATTAATGAGGGAAGCAAAAACCCTACAAAGTGACACACACCAGGGAGTGGTGAGGCCTAGGACAACTGGACAGAGCTGCCCCAGCACCTTACAGAAGACGCACCTTATTTCCTTTCAGTCTCTTTGAAGGGCCCAGGACAGCACCGCTGGGACCCAAGTCAAGCCCATAGTCTGCAACTTATGAACCAGAATAATTCTCATTTTAGATTTCTTTGAAAGAGTAATTTTGGACCACAAGTGTCAAGTTTGGTCTTGTCCTTAAATAGGAACATCTTTGGCAAATTTAGTAAAATTGATGGAGAAGCCTTCTAAATTTCATGACTTGACATTTAAGAAGGGCTTCTAAGGATAGTTTCTTTACCTGAAGCCCTGTTGCTCTTTGGAGTCAAAATGAGACTGCTTGTTTCAGCTACAGTCTTCCTTAATTTCCCAGAAATGGAGATTGTTTGGTCCATTGTGTCCCACAACGCTTCTACCTCCCCTCACTCCTATCTAACCTTTTTCCACTGGTTAGTCTACATTTCCCCAGATTTCAACCCCAACCTCAGCTGCTTAAGGACCATTTGCTGGTGGAGTAACCCAAACCTTCATTCCTAAATGCCCTGACTCATCTTCAGTCCTGCCATTTGGAGATGCTGTCCTTTTCCATTAGCTTTTACTATGGGGCACGGAAGTCCTGGGTTCTGTACATGGCCCCGCCTATCTCCACTGGTCACTGGGTTCAGTCACCCCAACCAGTAGTCACCCTCTTCGCTGCCTCTTGGTTCACTAGCCTAAGTAGTTGGGTGGAAGGGTCCCCTCCCTGCTCAGTGAGACCATTTCTGTGTCCCCTGGAGGAATCATCCCTCCAGACCCGTTATGAGAGTCCCTCCCTCTAGACTTTCTGTCCCAGCTAATGAAGTTCAAGTGACAAACTGGGCACACAGACCACCACGTAGGATACCATTTCCTTGTTTGCCCTCAGTTTCCATAATGGCCACATGAGACCTGCTGCTGCTTTTTCTCTCCTATTATCTGAAAATGTCTATAATAATGCTTTAGTGTATTTCCTTTATGTTCCTGCCTATTATGTCTGATTAAATTGCTTAGATGTTCCCTCTTCACAACATGGTGATTTTTCTCAGTCTGCCTTCTGGAGTCTCAGCAACTTATGTTCACATAGTTTCCACATTAGTTGCCTTGTACACCTGTCATGGCTGACAGACCAGTCTGAGCAAGGCCTTTCCTTCTGAAAATGAGCATTCTTTGCAAGCTACATGCAAGTTCTCTGCTCCATCTGTATAGAATGATTTTGTATGATCTCATTATCCTGTTGTCCACCCCTCCATCGCCTCCTCACCATTTTGGTTTTTTTGGGTTTTTTTAAGATTAATGGGATAGAGGTACAGAACCGTGAAGAGGCCGTGGCTCTCCTAACCAGTGAAGAAAACAAGAACTTTTCCTTGCTGATTGCAAGGCCCGAACTCCAGGTGAGTCAGCCTCTTGCATGTGAAGCTGCATCTGTATTCCTACAACCAAAAACCCAAGTCCGTGGCACTGCAGACTCCTGCCCAAGTATTTGGTCTGAATTTGAAGGCACTTTGTACACCCTGAAAATGTCGTCTCGCTTGATGTGACCTAAAATCTATTTTCTGTTTTAAGCATCGAAGGAGAGTGCTGACATCCAGCCTGATAGCACACTGTAGGCCCAGCAGGCTCATTAGCGTAGGAATGGTCATGAAGGAGAAGACAAGGGAACATGGTGGGCCGGAAAAACACAGCCAAGGTCATAACCATCAAGATGTTTGCGTTCCCCAAGCCCGACAGGTGTTCCAGCCTGGATCTGCGTGGGCCTCATCTCTAGCTACAGAGTGTAGTGCACATACAGCACGGTGGCTCGTAATACTGCGTTCCTCCTGAAACTGCTGAGAGAGTAAATGTCCGGCCCTCTCATCACACACACACGGTAGCCCGGGGAGGAAATGCTGTTAATGAGCTTCAGTCTCGGAATTACTTCACTATGTTGATGTACATTAAAATCATCACCATGTACGTCTTAAACATAAAATACAACTTTTATTTTAAAAAGTGAAAGAACCGTTGATCAGAAAACTTCTTCTCAGAGGGCCAGATATGTCTGGCTTTGGGAGCCAGATAGCCTCTGGTGCAATCGCTGGACTCTGCCACAGTAGCACAAAAGTGGGCGTGACAGTCCACGAGCAGCAGGCCACATCTGACCCGTGGGCTCTAAGATCTCAGACCCCCTGAATAGTCTGCTCTAGGAAGACACGGGCCTGGTAAAAGTGACGGGCCTTGCCCCAGACAGCTAGTTAGCAGACCCACGTTCTGTGTCAAAAAGAACTCTTGCAACACTGCCAATAGTTTGTTTTCGGGGCCTGCTAAGCTTGTGTGTGGGCCAGCCAGCAGGGGTGCAGGGCTAGCTCTCCCGGACGCCCTCACGGGTGGCCCACTTCCCTGAAAGTAGCCACCGTGGATGCATGAGCGTCGCCAGGAAAAAAACACAACCATGGCCCGCAAAGTCTCTGGAACGTGAAGGGAGGCTAGTTTTCCGAGGTAGAGCCAAACAGCGGGCACACTGCATTTTCATGACCCCCGGAGGGAGCCCAAGAACTCTTTTTCCCCCAGCTTAATGGCCTTTCTTTTAAAAAAAGTAAGTAAATAAGATGAAAGCAAAAGGAATCTTCTCTGAGGCCCATGGCTGCTCCCTCCCCACAGCTGGACGAGGGCTGGATGGACGACGACCGAAACGACTTTCTGGACCACCTGCACATGGACATGCTGGAGGAGCAGCACCATCAGGCCATGCAGTTC